ATATATTTATATCTATGTTGTCCTACGGATCTTAAGACTAGTCCCTCCCTCAAGTGCCTTTGGTCAGTTGCATCCTTTTTTTTTTAAACGATTCTTGCTTTCTTTGCAAGATGATAATTTTACATGGCTTGGAGCAACAGTTGCAGGAGATACACAATGCACTTCTAAGACTGTAAGACAACAACAGTGGCATAACTGACCAGGGTTTAAAGTTGTATCTGTACAGATTGTATGGAGTTTCCTTCTGTATAAGTAATTCCTCATGTCCAGGCTGCTGGGCAGCTGGGTTAGCTGAGCCAAGCCCACAAGACTCCACCACACTCACCAAAACGCTGGCAATGTGTCCAAGCCCAGGAGGGCTCTGTCTCACATTACGCTCCAGGATTAACACTCCGAGTGCGCAGCATACCCCGGAGCAGCGAAAGGTCCCCCATACACCCGGCTTTCAGAGCCTCTCTGGGTGCACGTGCAGGGACCACCACGTTCTGCGCATCCAGGCTCTGAGCACAAGCTCCCAGCGCCTGCTGCCTGCCTCGCATCACCAACATCCCCAGGATTATCCCCGGGGTACCAGTGACCTAAATACACTGTTTTGGACTTGAAAGTTGCTTTTGTTTTTAATGTTGCTGAGTCTCTGAAACCAGCACACGTAACAAACTGCCTGTTTCCAAGCAGCTGTTGTGTAACTTCGCTCCCCAGAGATGTTGCCTGCCGTTCATTTAATGGGCTCGGTTTCACTGGAAGTGCCTGGGGGAACCTCTTATCTCCCTAATTAGCAACAGAAGGGGCCAGTCCTTGCTGGAGGTAGCAGTGAAGCATTTGTGGGGATTCCTGAGAATAAGGGAGGCAGAGAAGGGGCCGTTTCCAGCTGGGAAAACACTAACTTTTATTCCACGTACGGTGCAGAGCAGAGGACCACAGAGAAGGTGTTGGGGGGAAGGTGCTTGCAGAAATGATGATGGGCTTTCTAGGCAAGAAAGAAGCATTTGGGAAGGGAGAGGAGGTGATGAGAGAGATTGTCTCTGGCCCTCCGAAGTTGTTCATTGCTCCTGCAATCTGAGTCTTATATAAGATACCGTGGAGCAGCACAGAGGCCTCGTGGGCTGGCTGCCGGTGGAGGCAGGAGCAGTGTTGCTGCGATCTGCTCTCAGTTGCCTGAGCTGGCTCATGTTAATAAGATTCAGGAATTAACAGTTTGGAAGTGCTTAGGAGCTCAGTGTTTCCTCCAGGGATGTGATCCCTGAGACTGAGCACAGAGCCTGCCATTCAGGGCTGGAGTAGACTTTGGTGCAAAACAAATCTCCCACAAATCAGCTGAATGTCCTGAGACCTCACTGGGAAGGTGAAAACATTGCTTGTCCATTACAGGCAGGGTGATGTTCCTTAGCCCTCAGGACACAGCCACACATGGAAAGCCCATGCGATCCCGTTTCTGGGCAGGGCTTTTTTCGTACAATACCAATTGAGAAGGGTTGTGTGTGCATGGACAGTGCCAGCTGGGACCTGTTGCGCTATGGGGACCGTTCTCCTTCAGAAGACACGGAGGGAATTACAGCGTTCAGTATCTTTGGCCTGTGGGAGCAAAGATCCAGTGAAGCAGAGGAAAGCCTCATCAGCCTTAAGGACCTTCCTTAAAAGCAAAGGAAGACGGTGAAGTGCAAAGACAGAGTGATAGCATAGGGCAAGCAGGGTTGTGGGATCCTGGAGGAGCACAAGAGAGATCTGAATCTTACAGATGTTGCCCTGCCCTGCAACATCACCGGCCTGCAGCTCACTGGTAGTAGCCACTGACCAGATGAAAAGGAGAGAGCTGGTCCCTGGTATAAGTCAGGAGATCATATTCATAAAGATCCACTGGTACTGAGTACTGTTTGCTCTCTAGTGATATTCTTAAGACAGTGAACCTGATTTTGTGCATGCAAAAGGAAAATTATGAAGCAAAGCCTTCACGTTGTAAGATGAAGGGCAGCGCCTTACAGCCAGGGCCATAAATCCCAGCAAGGGATAATCATTTCCAAGTTACCACAACATCTCAAGCTATAAAAGAGCTATGTTCAAAGTTTTTGTGTGCTCCACTCTTACCCCTGTTCATTAGCTCATTTCATAACCAGAAGTCACCAGCTTTCCTTCCTGTGTCTCAGGTTTCGGTATTAAAAGTATTTATGAGGCTTGGATTATGATTATATGAAACTGGCAATGAGAAAAACAGAAAGTCCAAAATAGAAAAAAGCCAAAATAGAAAAAAAAAAACAAAACAGTGGTATTACATGTGCTGTGAGCTTCTCTTTCCCACCAGAAGGCACCCAGTATTTGCAGACCTGTGGCTTGGCCTGCGGGTGCTTTCTCCAGCAGCAGGTCGCACTACGCCAGCTTTAGCGAATGGTCCTGGGAGAGCTGGCAGGTTATGTCGTGTTTGGCTCCTCCTGCTTGTATCCAGCTGCTAAACCAGCTGAAAAAATACATGACGGTAACATTTCCACGTGCGCATTTTCTGTCGTTGCTGCAGGGGTGATACTGCAGGTCATTGAGAAGAGCAGGAGAAAAACATAGGAAACGAGCTCTCTGCTAGTATGTGATTTGTACCATGTAAACGTATGAAACCCCTTTATAAAATGATGCCAGTTGTAAAGGGACTGCAGGATGGTAGCAATTGGAAGTTTAGACAGAGATGCAATAGTGAGTTACAGTATATCAAATGTTATGGTCTCACAGGTTTTTTTTTTTTTGTATTTTTTTTTTTTATTCTCGATGCCACAATGGCAGCTGAACCAGCAAAATTACAGCACTGGGATGAAGGCAAAAAACTTTCTGATGGTGCTCCGAGGAGGCTTTTTAAATATGGGTTCGCTAAGACGTCTGTCATTAAGGCTAAGGGATCCTGCCCCAGTGCAGGGAGATGCTCCGAGACACTTTGGCAGGTCCTTTCCTGTGGGGTTCCCCTTTCCATTTATGGGACATGCATCAATATCTCGTGGGAGGCAGCCTTGTTGACTCCAGCAAGCAGTTTCTGCCTGGATTTGTGCTTTTTGGCCACTAGAGGTTGCGAGAGAGAGGGGAAAAAAACCCTTGTTTCCCACGGACAAGGTGCTGCAGCATCCCAGGACAGGATTTCCTCTGCGACCCTTTGCTCTCTGGCCACCAGCAGTCACATAAAGCTCCTGCACATACCCTGTGTTTCAGTAAATGGGATCCTGGCATCTCAGCTGTTTCAGATTTATCACTGGGAGCTTGTTGCCTTTTAGCCCCATCGTATCAATGGCCTTGGTGTGTCCCCTTATATCTTAAGCAAAAGTCGTTCTGATTCTCCCAAATCTTTTAGACAGAGAGCAGCAACTTGTATCTTTGCAGCTTTAACTAGCTCTGCTGGCTCTTTCCCACATTCCTAGTATAGATAATTTCACTCTCAGCTGTTTAAGCCAGACCTTTTTCCACCAGCCTTTGTGCTTTTTACTAGCACTAAGAAATAGAATTTTCCTGAGGTCTCTTTTGTCTCATCACAGCCTGGTGTACCTCAGCCTGGCACCTTATGGGGTCCTCAGCTACCTTCCACATGAGTTGTAATTCTTTCCTCTCATTGCTAATAATTCTCTCGTTGCTAGTAATTCTCTAGTCTTCTGACTGTAGTCCCTCTGCAATCAGGGATACCATCTTCCAAGAGGCTTCAACAGAGCTGGTTTTGTTTGGGAAATAGAACCTTAAAGCTAAGTAATCCCAGAGGGGCATGCCCAGAAATAGCTATGCTGGAGCAGTAAATTGGACTGCGACCAAATGAAGGGTTTAGAAGCATTTCTTCCTGATGGCTCTTTTTGATGGCGCAGTGGCTGCATATGAACGCACAGTGGTGTGAGATGTAATCACCACAGAGCTCACTGGTGATGGTACTTCACTTTGAGCATTGCATGGAGATAGGAATCATCTCCTCTGACAGTAAAATGTAGCTGTTCCTGGAGTGAAGCACAGCAAGGACACCGTGCAACAACTTAGGAAGGAGGAGCCTTTATCCAGTAAGATTTTACTGACCATGAGGGAAATGAGATTTAGTTCCCTGAGCTAAAACAAAGCATTGTTTTCTGTGGAAAATGAAAAACTTCACTCTTCTTTTTTGTTTTGGCTACTGCAGATCACAGGTACACATGGAATAGAGACATGTGATACCCAGGCTGGAAGAGATACCTGCTCAGAGCAGGTCCAAGTAGGTCAGGTTGCTCAGTGCCTTGTTCCTGTCAAATTCTGAATGCCTCCAAGGATGGAGATCCCACATCCTCTCTGGGCCCCTGTCCCAGTGTCTGAATACCTCCATGGTGAATTAATTTCTCCTCATATCTATCAGAATTTCCCTTGTTGCAATTTGCATCCATTGCCTTTTGTCCTTCAACAGTTGCTCCTCCAAGATGAGTCTGTGTCCATTTTTCCTAGGCTCTCCACTAGGTAGCTGTAGACAGCAATAAGACCTCACCTGTTGCCTTCTCTTCTCCAGGCTGAACGAGCCCAGATCTCTCTGTCTCTCCTTGTACACCACGTGTTCTGGTCCCCTGGCAGCTTGGTGGCCCTACACCACTGAGGGTGGTTTCACTCAAGTCTCTCCTCTACCAGCAAGGCCAGAACTGGCCATGGCACTCCAGATGTGGTCTCACAAGTGCTGAAGAGAGCGAAGGGATCCTTTGCTACAGAGCAAGCGTGTTAGCCAGCTCAGCCTGCTAGCTAACGTGCTTGCGCTATAGCCCTGTACTCAGCTGGGCTTTGCTGCAGGGACACCGTGCTGACTCGGGCACAGCTGAGGACCTCAGCCCGGTCTCCGCAGAGTTGTCTTCTGCGCACTTGGCATCCAGCCTGTGCTGGTGCACAGGGCTATTCCCTCCCCACGCAGGACTTTGCATTTGCCTCTGTCGAACTTCATTTGCAACTACACCCTTAGGCAACAGGCGGCACTAAGGCATGGTGTAGCCTGCCTTGTCACCCAGAGCACGTCACCGTCACCGCCGAGGAGAGACCAGCGGAGAGCAGCGGCCAGCGAGGAGCAGCAGACATGTGGCAGGAGCTCCTTCCGAGTGCCTGGTGAGATCTCCTTGGTGTGGGCAGGGGGATTCCAAGAGGGGCTCCCCGAGGGCTCAGGGCAGGGGAAGGCCCCGGGGGGTCAGCAGGTCTCTGGAGGGTGGGATCGTGAGGCTGCGTTCTCCCCAGCGTGAGCAGGGAGGAGGTTTGATTAGACTGAGCCTTCATTTGTGTGGCTTAGAGAGCTGCTTCTGGGACACGCTTGCTTTGTTAGCAGTGCTGAGTTTGTGCTGTCGCCATGATAACTGGTTTCACGCCTCTGGCTCACTAAACTCCAGGATACAAGTACAGGGGGTTATTACTGCCCATTGCATAAGCTGCTCACCCTCCAGGGAGGTGGAGGCTGGCACTGCTTGCTCTTAGGAGCATTGTTCTTCTTTGTCTGGGAGCAGTTTAAGGAGATAGATACCTCCTTAAAAATCATGTATAGGCTGTCTCAGAGATTGTTACCAGATTGCCTCGGTGACTGCTGGGGTCTCCAGCATGGGCACTGGGTTCTGCATCACAGGCAGCAGTAGGAAACAAGAAACACCCAGCAGACTTGGCTTTTCATGGAGTTTCATGTCTTTTTTTTTTTTTTTTTTTTAAGGCATTGTAATTATGACACTAAACAGCTCCCTAATCTAGCTGCCTTCCACACAGCAGAGTAACAAGACTTTCTCTTGTCACTTCTAATTTTGCTAGATTTTAGACTGCATTTCTTACAGGAGAATCTATGAGGCTGAAAAAGAACTAGGGAAGAGGTTTTCTTTTTCTTGCAGGCAGCTGAGACCTAAAGGCTCGGTGTCCAGTCAGAAGTAGTTAGAAGTAGCAAAGGTACAGCAGCTCGTTGAACTCCAAAGGGCGAAAGGTCCCACCAGCCTTTCCTCCTGCCAGCCCTGCAGCACGGTGGGCACCGCATGGCTGGCAGCAGAACAACGCTTGCGCTTGAAAGTCCCCTGCCAAGGCTGTGCACCTATCGCTACACAGCAGTCAAAATAAACTATTTTCTTAGCTGAAGTAATACAGCTGCTCGTAGGATGAAATACCGCAAGGACACCTATCCAGTTATTTAGTGCCTTTTATCTAAATTATGCTGAAGGAGGGAATATTATGGCAACAAACTATCCAGCTAAAACACAGCCCAGAAACACTGTCTCTTTGTGCAGAGGCAGCGCCCTAAGCCCATCTCTTTCTGTCCCAGACAAAACGTAGGAAAAATAATGGCAGATGTTGCCAAGTGGCTAAATAGCTTGTGATCCCATGGCTGGGCAGTAAATGGTGCTGGCAGGTGACAGTCTTTGCACCATCACCGAGGGTTGGTATCATTCAGACAACACTATCAGACTACAAGGATCTTCTTTTTTTTTTTCCCCTTTTGTAGGGAGAGCGTCTTGTCGCGGATCAGGTGAGTGAAACAGCTGCTCTGTGCTGAGACCTCTACTTTTTATTAGCACCCTGGTTGAGGCACAGCATAGTCCCTTCCCTACCCTGTATGACAACAACAACAAAACCTTTGCTGACAGTCCCTTTGCAGCCCTCTGCCATAGCCCTAAACACCCCTACCAGTCCGCAAGCTGGAGAGCTTGAGGCACGGGTCAGGGGGACGTGAAGGTACACTACATTTAGGACTGATTGCTCAATCGTTGGAACAGTTTTGAAACATGCTGCATGTCTGTTAAAACCAACTCTGGTGACTTAGCTCCCATACCTCAAGAAAGCCTGAAATCTTGCTGTCTAGAACAGAAACAGGGGCACCAGACAGACAAGCTGAGACCCTTATCCATGGAAAGCTATGGTGGAGGGCCAGTGTTGCCCTAAAAGATGACCGAATCTGTAGGGGAACTATGTATAAAGCACTGCCAAGAGGGACATGTCCAGCACATCCACCTCTCTCCAGCAGCTGAAGACCTTTGTCTCTGCTCCTGCTCCTCAGCCCGTTCTCTCTGTGCAGTTTTTATTCCTGGAGGAGTCCAGCTGCTACTATCCCATTCACTCCAGTACCTGCCTTAAAATAGACTGGCCCATACCCTATTGACCCTTGTCCCCCAGGGTACCCTGGTTCACAAGAAGAGGGACAAAGAAGCCTCGTGATCAGCAAGTCCTGATCAGCAAGGACTTCAGGTCCCTAAGAAGCACTGGTAGATGTAACCCTGGCCCAAATCTTGCCTGTGATCTTCAGAAATAACAGAAACCCCCAGCCCCTGCTGACGCCGTAGGATCTGTAGGCATTTGTTACTGCCCAGGCCTGACCAATGTGCATACAGGCCTCAGCATAGTCCCTTTACCCTTGACACTTCTGTTGTTGAACACAATTTTGCGCCTCCCCAGGTCTTTTGAATATTCTCAAAAGAATGCCATCCTGGTCCCCGTGGCCACCCTGGGGGTTGGAGGGATGCTGGTTTACTGGCTGAGATCTCGACACAAGATCAAGACTATTGAAATGGGCGATGGATGGTGGGGCTCAGGTGAAAGACCCCTAAAAGGGAAAGAAGATGAAAGTATCCGTCCCTTCAAGATTGAAACATCTGACAAAGAAATCGAGGTACCAGCGGCTGGGATGTAGGGAGGGGCAGAAAGCTACAAGCTGGGGCCAGTCCATCACCCACCTTACTGCTTCGAGGTGATGTCGCAGGGGTGGCAGCAGTGCACTTGTATACGCCAGTGCAGCTACCTAGCACCATTAGATGATGCTCTGGCTCACCACCCTTTATCAATGGCATTTGAGCTCAGACTCATTGTAATGTCCCATGAAGATTTTTGGAGACCACAGAGCCTCTGTGCAACCTTCAGCTGCTCCTGCAGAAAGGCCATGCTTTGAGCAGCAGACTTTGACGATGGGTCTGTGGATGGTGGAGCAGGGTGGGAGGGTGTAGGGGCAGCAGTGGCACTGGTGAGACAAGCCTGAGGGGCTTCCACAGAGGGAAGGGCTGGAAGGGTGAAGAGGGACAGGGTCTTGACTGAGTCACAGCACCTCTGTTCCCACATGCCTGTCCCTAATTATGTGGTGAAGTAGAAGTCAGCAGCTCAGGCTGAGCTTCTTACTCTTCACCCAGCCAGCGGAGCTGGCAAGCTCCTAGTGCCAAAAACCCTGAAGTGAGTTAGCAGCAAGGCAAGAGTAGGACCCGGTACTCCTGGGTGCACTGGAGGAAATGGTAACCTGTAGAAAAATCTATTCCTCATATAAACAATTCAAGGGGTCACGTAGAGTATGCCACTGCTTCAGAAGGGCTCGTGGTGTCCCAGATAGCGGTACAAAAGCCGGCAGAGCCAGGAGAGCCCATCCCTGCCCACCCTGGCGTAGGGCACGCATGGGCAACCTCGCAGGCAGGGCTCCCCTCCGCAGGACCTGCACCGCCGCCTTGAGCAGGCCCGCTACGCCCCGCCGCTGGAAGGGGCCGCCTTCCACTACGGCTTTCACTCCAGCCAAAAAAAAAGGCAAGGCCCCGCCTGCCACTACGGCTTCAACTCCAGCTACCTGCAGAAGGTGGTGGCCTACTGGAGGAACCAGTTCGACTGGCGCAAGCAAGTGGAAGTCCTGAACAAATACCCCCATTTCCAAACCACCATTGAAGGTGAGGGGGTCTCTGTGGCTTGAGCAGGGGTCACTGTGAAACGCATGGAGAAAAGGGGGGGATTTAAGAGGTTGCCATATTTAAGACAATAGCATGCATCACAGCTTAGTGATATGAGTGAAACATTATTAATAACCTTCTATAGATGAAGACAATTACACAGTGGCAATAAGATTAGGTGTGCTTCAAGATGGGCTTCATCTGGCTCTGAACCTTTGCTAATGATGAGGTTTTCTCCTGCTAGTGCCTTGAAGCCACCTTTGAAAAACTGCAAAGTTTACCCAGACTCTGAGGCTAGAATTTCCCCCACCACCCCCCAGTTTAGGCAAGTGAGGTCAGCCAGACTTCAGGGAAGTGATCTGAAGATTAAACTTCTACCTTGCACTTACTTTTTCATATGTCTCTTTTTATCACCCACATATTTTGTAATTTTGTCATGGTTTTGAATGTGCCTTACCTGCATTATGCTATTTATTTAAGTGCATCTCTACTTACATACCGTGAGACCAGTTTCTCAGGAGATGGATGCTCGATCTCCTGTGACCCCAGTATCTGGGGCTGGGATCAATACCTCTGTCTGTATGTAAAAGATGAGACACAGGAACAGAAACAGGCATCCCCTTTCAGCTAGGCATGTTCTTGCCATAGGTTGATCGTCTAACTTCTGCTACGAATGCTAATTACAATTTTGCCACCCTCCTTCTTCAGAGTCTAGAGCAGAAATTGTGATGGAACCAGAGCTTAATTTGTCTGTCTTGAATGTGTGGCAGGGATAGATATCCATTTTATCCATGTGAAGCCCTCCTACGTCCCTCACGGTCGAGCTGTTCAACCTCTGCTGATGGTCCACGGTTGGCCCGGCTCCTTCTACGAGTTCTACAAGATCATCCCCCTGCTCACAGAGCCGGCCGAGCACGGCCTGAAGGAGGGTGATGTGGTGTTTGAGGTCATCTGCCCATCCATCCCAGGCTATGGCTTCTCGGAGGCACCACACCAGAAAGGTAAGCGATGAAAAGGCTCTGTTGGAATCGCAAGGTTTTTGGAGTAACACGTCAGAGACCCCTGGGCCCCCTGGGCATCACTGTGGATGCAGATGCTTGGCTCTGCATTAACATCCACATGGCTGAAGCACTGGGGCTGGTTGTGGAGATTTGGAAGGCAATGGTAACTGGAAGCCAGGTCTGCTTTCCACCTTCTCCACTTTCCACCGAATTTCTATCTTGTGGTCACTTTATCGCCAAGGAACGGGGCAGAGCAGCATAGCACGCTGTGCCTTCACACAGCAGCACACTCGCATGCATCTGGCAGGCCACAGTCTTTGGCCAGGGGATGAACACTAGGACAAACAGACCTCCTGTGTTTCTCTTCACCTACAGGCTTTGACAGCATAGCAACTGCTCGGATATTTCATAAGCTGATGAACAGACTGGGCTTCAGGGAATACTACCTACAGGGAGGAGACTGGGGATCTCGTATTACCACAAACATGGCCCAGATGCTGCCACAGTGAGTAGCAAAGGGAACCAGTGCAGAAAAGCCGCCTTCAGTTCTTACCCTGCCTTCTGGCTCCATGGTCCTGGTTCTGCCTTCTGTTTGCCCTGCCTCTCATCCCCTGCTGCTCCAGGGACATCCCCACCCCTGTGCGTTCAGTTGTATTCATATGCTTTGCATTGATATTGGTGCAGTTCTCACGCTTCCTAAATTTCAGTGCTGTTTGGCTTCTCTTTCACTAGCTGCGGAAGTAAATTCTGCTGCATTTTGATCTGAGACCTCAAGGCGACAGATCGTCATTCTAAACCAGGAAGGAGATAAATTTAAAATCAGCAGGGAGAAAAGGAAGGAAATAATTCAGCAGCTGAACAGTGCCATGAAGTACAGGACTTTCTTATCTCAAATGCTGAGACTGGTCAGAAAAGAAACACGATACCTTCCATAGAAGATGGCACCACAGCTCATTGTTTAGCATTTAATGAAAAGCGGGCACCACAGCCATGCTTAGGTCAGAGAGTAGATAAAGGAGACAGCTCTCAAAGCAGTTAGACTGCAGGCTGAGCAGCTCGCTGTTCCCAACTGCAGTTGTGCTTCACAGCACCCAGAGCGCTGTGGCCACATGGCGATCTACTCAAGCTTTCAGCAAATACCCAGCGCAGCCGGTTCCCTACAGCATAGAACAACACCGGATCAACAGCCAGAGCTACCAGCATGGATATGCCACGTCCAGCAACTGAGCAGCTAAAGCTAACATCCTACCAGTGGCACAGCTGGACGGAGGTGTCACCAGCTGTACCATTTCTAACTCCCATAACTTTTTTATTTTTTGAATCATGATGCACCCGAAGGGCTTTATGTATTTGGCTCAGTGAAATACTTCTATCACAGCTCCAGTCAGACTTATCTTCTAGAAAATTTGGAGACAGAAAATTGCTTGGTTTAACCTTCTACTCATTAACTTAATTTTAGATCTGTGAAAGGGCTTCATCTGAATCTCGTCTTCATCGGCAGACCAGGTTTGAGAAGGATGATTTCTGTGATGCTTGGGGTTTATGTACCATGGCTGGTAGGCCTCACTAGGGAAGATGTTCGACGTATGTACCCTTTCATCCAAAAGAACATACATGAAGTTCTGCGAGAGTCTGGATACTTACACATCCAAGCCACCAAACCAGACACTGCAGGTAATGAACCTTCTCCATATTGCTATGAACATTGTATACTAACTGCTTATGGTATATGAAAACTCATAGTTGAACAAAGTCCAACCATGTTTGAGAAGCAATGAGTTCTGGTGACCAAATGCCAGACATGGGGACAAGAACTGCATAAAAGGAAGTTAAAAGGAACAGCTTAAAAAAAGATGGAGACAACAAACATCACTTTTCAATGTCCTTTAAATGGCATGCCACTTCTCTTGGGTAAAGAATCCCTTTGCAAAAAGCCTCTTAAAGTAAAGCACAGGATCCTGAAATTGAGGCTTCTAGAAGTAAATGTGGGTGAAAACAAGAGAAATATCATAAGCAAGTGCAATGTGAAATGTACAGAAAAGTAGACACAGCCCTGACACCTCAAAAGCCAGAAGCCTGACCTAGCTAGCGGGGCCAGTAGATAAGGAGTCTGAAGAAAGATATGGCCATCTCAGAAAAGTGAAACAAACTATTTGCATCAGTCCCCAGTAGCGAGGATTATGGGGTATTCCTTCATTTAAATAATCCCTCGTCAGGAAAGGCAGCAGAGCAGTCTCAGGCTGGTGTCAGACATGCAGATCATGGAATGAGTAGCACCCCATCCTGGCATTCACTGAAAAAAGAACAAACTCAGACTGAAACATTAACTAATGCCTGGTCCGTTGCTTGAAGTGATCGCAATAATAAAGAAATAAAAGGAGGCAGGCAAGATACCAGGTTGGGTTGGGGTTTTTTTTTGCTTTTTGAGAGCCAAACAGTGAAGGTAGCTCCAGAAAAACAAAGACCAGTATGTCTAGCCTCTGATCAGAAAACTAGCAGAACTGTTTTAAGGAGGAGAATTGATTTACCAGTGATAATATCACAGGGAAATCATGCTTCAAAAAGCAGAGCTCTAGCAGAGCTGTGGATCTAGTAATGGAACATATTTCATTTCCAAAAAAGTTTTGCTGAGGTTCCTCCCCCAATGTCCCTAAAGAAATTAAACTGCCTTAAGAAAAGTATCAAGTTCATAGATTAATAACTAGTTAACATGAGAATCCAAGCATAGGAATAAGTAAGCAAGTTCCAGGGGAGGGAGAGTATCACAAAAATCTGTGCTGGCACCTGTACATTTCAACATGATCCTAATTTCTTTACAGATAAAAGTTAATGGTTAAGTGAAAATTTGACAGCTGTCCAGGGTTTGGTTTAATCTGAAGATAACTGCAGAGAGTTGCAAAAACATTCCAGTGACTGGGTGATTAAACTGGCCAATAAAAACTGATGTCAACGAAGTCCGAAGCAATTTAAGTAGAGGAAGAAAATCACAATGGCCTCTAGTTTGGCTGCTGCCATATAAAAATATCCATGAGTCATGGATGGTGCTTTGAAATACCAGCTGGATCAGAGTTTAAGAGAATCTTCTAAGCTCTTAAAGAAAGCAAAAAGAGACTAAAACACTAAATCCACGATACTCAGAATCTGTTGCACACCTGTTTTATAAATATATTTTAGAATCAGAAGAATACAGGAAGGGGAGAAAAGGAAGACTGAAGTGACCAAGCAGCTTCCATACAAGCAGTGGACATAGTCTAGGACTCTTCAACCTGGAAAAAGAAGAGCAGGGATTTTGTAGCACACAAAAATTGTGAAATGTAGAAAATTAATAGGGGGGGAAGGAAATGTATTCCCTCCTCAGTCTCAAGAAATATCTACATTATCAGTTTGGTTCTCATTAGGCAGGTTTAAAGAAAAGCTAAAGTATTTTTGCTCACCACAAGTTGTGGTACCTAAGATGTGGCACAGGTTGAACGACTAAAAAGTTGCAAACAAGACCGGTATTGCTGAGCATCTAATCCATGGACATTGAATACAGTGGTTCAGAAGGAGCATTCAGCCCAGAAAATGCCCATCTCCAGACTGGTCATGTGCTAGCTGGCACATTTTGGCCTGCTTTGCCATTGGGTCAAAGCATTTGCATGGCTTTGATCAGTAGCAAATCACTCCAGGCCTGCCAGTGCAGGGAAAACTGTTGTGCCAACGCACAAACTTACTTTGCGTGAGCTATGTCCACTATCAAGACCGTGTTGTGCACCATCTTCTGCAAAAGTCACTCCATCATAACGTCACACTAAAATACACTTGAGAGCAGGCAATGCCCAGTACAGTGTAAAACTACAGCCTAGGGTATGGTACAGGCATTTTCCCAAGGCGAGCCTCTATCACTGCTGAAGAACACAGATATAATATGCTGTGTACCTGCTGTGTTTATAATGTTTGTTAGCGTTCCCCAAAGGCAGGAACAGATAACAAATACACACACGCCACTGTTTAAATTAGATTAAAAGTGATGCACAGCACTGAGGCTCCTGGGTATGCCTCCTAAGCAGGACAGTGCTCCCAAATAGTTTATCTGAAATTTCTTTTCAGAGTGTAATCCCTTTACATCTGAATTTGCCCATTCTGGCACACATTGCCAAGAAGCCAACAGGACTTTGTTAGCTCCTAGCTGCTTTTGTATAGGAATTACCTGAGTTTGTAGTGCTGTCAGTTACAGCTGGAATTCCTCCGGGGTGAATTTGTCAAGAATAAAGTACTACCAGGGCTAGGAAAATACAGACTCTCTACTGAATTCTCCCAGAAAACTCTGAAGAACTCATGAAAGTCCAGTTTAACTTCCACTGAAGCACTGCAATGCCAGGCAACTGCAATAGCTCTCCCCCTCTTCTCCTGAATTAGGTTGTGGACTGAATGACTCCCCTGTGGGGCTTGCTGCATATATTTTGGAGAAGTTCTCTACCTGGACAGATAAATCATTTCTGCATCAAGATGATGGAGGCTTGGAAAGGTAAGCAAACAGATGCTCTTCCATGACAAGACTCACAAAAAGACTGAGTGATGATAGCTAATGAAGAGACAGGTAAAAGACTGGCCAGTCAAAGCTGCATTTTAAGGATGAAAGATTACACCTGACAAGTAGTAGTTCAAACTCACAGCAGACTGCTGGCAAACCACTGCTTCAGCACCAGGCAGTTTCGCTCTGGGCACGCAGATGCCGATTAATTTGCTGCTTGAAAACGAGTGACAACCAACAACTATCCTTCAGGGCATGAACCCAATACTGCATATTGAGAAACAGCTTTCAATGAAATTTCTTCTTCTTGCTCTCCCAACAGCAAATACTCTCTTGATGAGCTGTTGACCAACGTGATGATTTATTGGGTGACGTCCTCCATTGTGTCCTCAATGCGATTCTATAAGGAGAACATCTCCAAGGACCCTGGTCTAACTGCTGATGCCAGGTAATGAAGTAGCCGGTGCAAAACAGATTTCCAAATAGATTGAACCACATTTGCCTATATAAACATTTAGATCACTTACAAAAGCAAATTTAACTAGTTAAAAAAAAAAAATCAAAGTTCTTATTTTCTTTTGATAAATACAGTTAAGGGTCACTTTTCTTTTGAACCTATAATTCACACGGTAGCTTGTGACCAAGACAATGCAGAAGACTTACCAAAGCATATTCAGTCTTGTTTGCATTCAAAATACGGGTCTATATACTCATTCACCAAGCAAATGTAATCTGTGGCTTAGTTCAGCAAAACCAAAACAGAAAATCTTAAGCATTTCTAAGAGAGAAGTTTAAACTGAATTAGGAAGGATGTAGTTTACTGGTGGATAAACTACGAACTGTAACAGTTAAGCACAAACTTGGGGAAGAAGCAATTTGGAGAGCAGCACTTGAAACCAAGCATCTTCTAACAGCCACTGGCTCTAAGATGACTAAAAGAGAGGCTGACCAGGAAAATGCTGCTGAGCAGAACTCTCCAAGTGATTGATCATACAAATAGAAGAGCCTTTAGGAGAGTCTTTTTCTTTGTAGACTGAACCATTTTACTTTCCTCTTGAGAGAATAATTCGTTATGCTGGTACCATAAATTCTAAAAGTAAACATGAGCTAGCTCATTTCTGGCTTTCACAGAGGTGTGGCATCATGCCACTTATCACAAAACTACAAAACAAGGTAAGCTTAAAAATCTGAAATATTTCAAGACTGAACTGTGTGCAAAGTTGGCTCTACTTTACACGTCTTTGGGTATGACGTTCTTAAACTCAAGGAGATCCAAATACAAGTGAGGCTCTTCAGCAGAGTACAGACCACAAAATGAGTTGCTGTGGTGAAACTTCTCCAGCTGACTGTGGCAGTTACGAGTCAGAAGGTTTCCATAGGCTTTCCCCAGAACTTCTTTGAAAAACACGGTTAACTAATGTCTTCTAGGGTTGGAGTGCATGTTCCCACAGGAATTGCAGCTTTTCCTCAGGAGATAATACATACACCACGCACCTGGGCAAAGCATATATTCAAGAACATCATCACTTACTCTTACATGCCACGTGGAGGGCATTTTGCTGCCTTTGAGGAACCAAAGCTTCTAGCACAAGACATCATGCACTTTGTCAGAAAGGTGGAACAGCTGTGAACCTGCAGTTTAGACACAGACGTAGAATGGAAGCAAGTTGTTCTGCCACCAGCAGAACGTTTACTTTGAGAGATTAAAATAAATCCAATGTACTGACATACAGAAGCCGGCATTTTATTTTTATGATGATTACACTACTAAACTTGTTAATCAAGCTCTAAAGCTCTTCACAAGAAAAAAAAAAGCATCGTCTTCTTTCACTCCTGGCACCGTATCATTGCTGTATTCATAGTTCAAGTATAACAGAATATGTAAACAGTTTAATGCAGTAACATTGCACTCATTTGGGAAAGAGAGCAGAAAGGAACTGGCCCTTTGTTCCTCAGACCTAAGGCTTCTGCTCAAATGCTTCTTTGAATATTTGAGTGCTAGCATTCTTAAATATGCATTGCAAGCAGCTTTGGTGGAAGTGTAAAGGATTTTGATCTCCTGAGCACAAACACTCCTACGTTCAAGTTATATTTCATTCAAGAGACCTGCGATTACATATTGAAGTGGGCAGCTGCACATAAAGCAGCTCTCTTCATTCTAGCAGTTTCTCCCCTGGAGGTAGCTTTAGCAGTTACTACACATTGTAAACAGTTGTTAATGGATAATAAGGCAGACATCACTCCTAGTGTTTGCCAAGCTCAAAAATATCAATTTCTTTCTAGTTCTATAATCCAAAAGGTCAAAGTTAAAATATGCACCAAGTGTAAAGGGTTACTTCAACCTTTACCTTCCTTTCAAAGGATTTTATCACCCCAACGTGCAATTTTTGCTAGCAAGAAACTGCAAGCAACCTCACTACAAGTAGGCTTGAGTTTCTCTTCAAACGAGATAGAGCTATTTGGAGCTATTAAGTTCATTACCTTACAGATACATACCTAGCTGACTGAGGAGAACTCCAGCAGATATATAGTTCTGGCACACTGTGCTCTAAAGGTTTCTCCCCCTCCCTGTCCCAGTCTGCCCTAGACACCATGCCAGAAGGGCGGGCTCAAGTTCCGCTCCCAAGTAACACATTCTAATTTAGAACAGGAATTTGACAGGTAAAGGTAGTGCTGAGCTTGATCACACTCCTCTCATTTCAGAAACACTTAAAAGTCCAAGACTCTAAAACTTCTAAGAGGTAAAAAACAAGCAAGAAACTAATTTTTTTGTTGTTGTTTTTTAAGGTGAGAATAAGCTAGCATACTGGGGCAGGAATCATGACTTCCTCTGAAGAGGGCTAGAGCAGAAACTGCTTACTTTTAACTGTGTATCTGATTGTCAGGCCTGTTGGACTAAACGTTAGTAAAAAAAATAGGAAGATGTGCTTCCCTGCCTCTGCAGGGCTGCTCAACCACTTTTCATTCCCAGTACATGACAGTGCTAGATACCAGACCTCCCAATTGCTGAGAAATCCCACTCCTTGTATTAAGTACACTAAATTGATTTATAGGGAAGTCTAATTTTATCAAAAAGATGGGCAAACATTTGAGTACTCAAGCCTGATCAGACTGCAGGGAAAGGTCTCCTTTTACAGGTATAGGGTAGGTAAGAATGGTTATGGCCTTTATACTAGTGGCCAAGTAATAGTATGGCCAATAGCATTGGCCAAATAATCACGTACATTATCTAGAGTCCCAAACAATCAGCTAATGTAGTAATTATGACCAGAGAAATGGCCACATTAAAACTCAGGGGAGAGAAAACTGTGTCCAGTACTTGCCAGTTCAGTAAGTATGCAGCACGAAAGTTTTAGCCCCAACATGCTAATTCATCTCCTGTGCAACAACTCAGGTCCCTAAAGAATCACTGTATCTGTGTGCAGCTGTGCCTTAAAGGGTGTTTGCTTTCAACAACTCAGGAGATGGAAGACAGATGAACACAGTCAAGCTACAGGAAAGCAGTAGATGCCCTGGGAAGAGATCCAGACAGACAAGAATATGCAGTTATATTTGATAAAGTTATTATTACTTAAAGCAGCACCAAAGGTTATTCCAATATTCCATTAAAGTTCTACAGAGCATAGGTCACTCATGAAAGCCTCTGAGTGTCACTGGTGCTTGAAACCAGACGTAGTCCTCCCAGGCAGAAGTCATATGCTCAGGCAGCGAGGCACTTATGTTGACGTCTCCATCACAGGACAAGTTGACAGTTAGTTTCCTCCCTTGGGTTGGCACTTTATAGTTGAGCTTGGGCCGGAACCAATCGACACCACAATCGCGGTGTCCTTGGAGCATAACAACAGTGCCCACCACAGGGAGAGCCTTAAGTTCGCTGAAGACATCTGCAATGAAGAGCGAGTGAAAGAGCTTGCGAACACAGGATGCAGTTTTCAGGCTCACCTCAGCACTGCCCTCATAGATACCCTCCAAGTTGAGCTCATAGAGCTCCTTGGGTCTCATGACGTTGCCTCCAAGTAGGATAAGAACTCGAGGAACCAGTGTCAAACTAAACATGACTTCCAAGTGCTGCAGCACTCCCTCCAGCTCCATCAGCACCTGCTGGCACTTCTTGCTTGCCAGGTCCATGGAGCGTGGCTTCTTAATCACATCTCCATCCTGGGAAACAAAAAAAAAAACCCAAAAACATGAGGACACTTCATTATTAGGACATATTAGTTCTAATACACTCCTCAGAAAGCATGGCCCATCCCATCCCTGAAAGTCAATGGGGGTTCAAAGGGTTTAATGCTGCTTTTAAGAGATATAGGTACCCACATATAGAATCAGGAGATCCAAGAGGATCACAAAAGGCCGCTCCATAGCGACTCGGTTTAAATCTGAGCCACACTGTTGATGAATTCCCACAAGAATCAGAAGCCCCATGTTTTAAAGATCAGCTATCACCACTAAACCACTTCATATTGATTTTTTGTTATCTTAAAGTTGAGTAACAAACAGAACAGTTACATGCTGTGAGCGGAAAGTGGAACAAGACGTAAACAGTAGCTTGTTGAGACCTTTACCCACCCAGCCTAAAGCTTTTTTTT